AGTAGCAAAGTGGCTGATCTAAAAGAGAAAATAAATAATTTCTAAAATATATAATAATGCAAAATATAAAACATTAACACGGCACATTCCATTTTTTTAACCCCCCCTCTGGTATTGCCCACTGGAAGAATTACAGAAGAATTGAATCATTCATTTTTCATTCATTTATTTTCACAAATCTTACCCACCAGTGGGATATGAAAGGGTCCGATGACAGTAGCTATAGCCATGCAAGGAGAGGAAGAGGTCTCTCCCATAATGGCCTGTACTTGTGCAGGTCTGGTACATGGAGCCTCTGAGGGTCCAGATACCACTTCATTACCATTAGCCAAGGCCAGTGCAACCCTCACACCTATGGCAATAGAGCCACAGGCATCATACATCTTATAACCCAGAGAGATGCCAGGCAGTAGGTCTGTGCTGTTATTAATCTCTTCTAAGGCAAACAGCATAGCCTGGGCAAACTGGAAACCTCTGAAATTCAAACTTGACGCAAACAGTTATAAATAGTTGGAATTTTAAATAATTTGTCCTTGAAACAGAAACATAGTGAATGAAAGCATTTGATGGAATTCATAGACACAACAACCTGTTTTATATATATCTTCACTTCCTCTTAAATATTTGTAATTCATTTAGATTTCTACAGTATAATTTACCTGGTGCACTGCAGTGGCAGTGGTTTGTGCATATAGGTATCTTGTCTGTCTTTCCAGCTGCTGTGGAAAGAGAAGATGCCCCCAAGCATAATGTCTCCATCCTTAAAGAGCTGAGGGTTCTCAGGATCCCCTAGCCGCCTGCACACCGGCTCCTCAGCCTGAGAGAAAGATGCCACCAACAAAATCTGTAAGAGTGCCCAACCCTGCTCTGGCCACCTCTGTGTGGACGTCATATCAAAAGAGATCTAAACCACTGGGTGGCATCACATGTACCTTAATGTAAAATAAACTTTTGCACTGCTATTTATACATTGCAACAGTGATGTTTCATCTCTGTGGGCCAACAAGGCAGGGCACGAGGATGGAGGTGTCAAAACAAAAAAAGTGTTTGGGGTGCCCAAAAAGAAAACAAGTTCTGCACTATAATCTTTTTTTAGATCTAAATATTATATCTTATTTTAACTGTATATGCTTTCAGATGGTATTCATTTGTGCTGCACAAAATGTTGCTGAATGTATACTTTAATTCATAATACTAGAAAAATGTAGATGATAAAGTTGAGAATATTAGACTGATTTGGCTCTATTTGGCCCCAAAATCTTGTTAAAAAGATTACTATTGTTATTTTTTTTACTTGTGGACAGTTTAGCAAGCTGTACACTTGATATGGCTATCATGTTATCAATTACATGTTAGAATATGTACACATATAACAGACGGAGCAATAACAGCATTCATTTGGAGTCATGCTTGTGTCCACCTAATGAATCTAAGTCTAATACTGACTCTCCTTTAACCTCTGTTTTGGTCTCTGCCAATTTTTTAGATGCTAAATGCTCTATGTTCACCAGCTAGCTAACTTTGTCTGTCAGCCTGTTGTGGTGCTGGACAGGCAGTGTTGAAAACTCCTGCCTGCTGCACATACCACTACTGTTATGAGAATGGCAGGGGTGAACCAAAACATTAAATTTGTGGGCTGTAAAACCAAAACATTGAGCTGAAAGAAGCTATAAAGCTTTGTAGAGCTGAGGGGAACAGCAGACTTAGTGATGATTCTGTGGGTTCATCGCTACAAGCAATTCTTTTCACATTACACGTAGTCATGTGATCCCATGTTATTATAAAAAAATATAGGATATAGTAGATATTATTTTAATTCACACAGTTAATAAAGCAGAGTGTTTCAGGGTAAGCGTCTAACATCCCTAAAGGACAAACTGAAATAGCCAAATAAAGCTAACAGTGAATCACTGAAGGAATCAGGGATGTGGGCGATAATTCTGACGTCTGGAACCAGGCTAAATGAAGTCCTTCAAGTGCATGTAATTTCAAGGATGTAAAGAAAAAAATGGCTACATTAGAACCATGGTAAAACTGACGGTGACAGCTGTGTGACTGATTCAGAGAGGCAAGTGGCCAGTGTGTTTAACAGAGATCAGCAGTTGATTGAACACTTGAGCCCTATAGTTCTAAGCTGTGGACCCTGTGTACGACTTGTGTATTTGGCTCACTGACAGTGGCAATGAAGGACAGAGCAATGTGTAATTTGTCTCTAATTTGCAGACTTCAAAATATTTGGGCCAGTGGTAGCTGGCACCAACAACATTTAAAATGAGTGAAGACAGATTCAGTCCTTCTAGAGCGCTGTGCGTGTGGTTGGCACACTAACTTGCTTACAATGGCATCCAATTAACGAGCCAGATCTAATTTGACTCGTTTGACACATTTGAAATGTCTCAGCTGTGAGGTCTGAGGTTGAGCAATGAAAACACAAACATACATGCATTCCGAAATGGTACTGGGTGGAAAGAAGAAATGTCTACACTCAATAAATGTAACTTGTACACTTCGTCTGCCTCCGAGGTGTGACTTATTAAAACCTGCCGTACCTCCTTGTGAAGTTGGCACGTTGACTGTGACGATCTTGCTGTTGGCGGGTAGCGGCAGCTTGGTGGTCACTACCTTTCCACCCACTGAGGTTCCTGTAATCTGGAAAGTGTGCCCACCAGATGTGGCCATGGTGGTCTCCGTTCCCGCTCCTAATAACGCAAACAAGCAAACACAATATTACATCAAATACAGCAGTCTTAAAACACAATCATATGCATGAAATGAGCATATAACAGAACAATGTCTAATGTGTCAAAATATTATAGAAACTCTCTGGTGAACACATAATGATTTGTTCTGCACTTTAATTAAGGTAAAAACAAAGAGTACATTGTACTTCCCTGCTACCCCCCAGACAATAGTACAGACAATTCCAGGCTGTTAGTCACACTCCTCTGCAAAGTACCTTGTGTTTGACCCTGCTTGACCCAGGTGGCAAACGACTGCTGGAAGTTCTTATTCTGCTGGAATGTGACTGGGGTGCCCATCTTGGTGGACAGTACCACCTTGGTGGTAGGGGTGCCCTGGCCCGACAGCGAACCGACAATGACTTTGGGTGTGGCGGCAGGTGTTGCTGGAGTCCCTGTTGGTGTAGCTGTGACTCCGCCCATTTTCTGTTCCAGACGTTTCTGAGATCAGTCAGTCAGACCATTAATATAGAAAGCGGGGAAGAAAGAAAAGCCAAAACATGAAATCGGTTGTGTAGAAATTAGTTAATGGTAGAGAATGGTACATACAGGGATAATTGGAAGTTAGCTGCCTGGCTAAATGATACTATCAGCAGGAATGAATATATCGCTTGTTGTCTATGATTTTGTCCTTTTCAAGCGATGTCACTCATCGCTTGAAAAGGATTAACTGTGTGTAAATACCAGTAATCAAACAGTGATTGTTGTTAACTATACCAGACTCACCTTGGCCTGCTCTGCTGCCTGAGCTTTCTCTTTCTCTACCCTGTAAAATAAAAATAAAAACTATTAAGCTTAACACAGCAAAAACTTGTGAAGGAGAAAAAAGTTAGGAAAAAAGTCAAAGTTGCAGTCTAGTAATAAAAAAAAAAAAGACAAAAAACATTTTTAGCGTCAGCCTGAATCAGCCAATTGACAACTTTAATTTTACGTCACACGAATTTGGCTGGACAAGGCAATTTACCTCTAGCAGAGCAAGGAGAATATTTACCTATTGGCACAGTAAAATCAACAACCCGAATAACATCTGGCTGTCCATTTGGACATGTTTATAATTCATTCTCACATTGCCCAATTGACTCTACATGGCAGGTGTAGGCATAACATGCTTGACCCTCTGACCTTTCTGAGAAGGCTCTGATCTCCCAGAGGTCCAGCTCCTCCTCAGCCACCCAGGTCTCAATCACCACTGGACCCGTCTGCTTGGCGGGCTCATGCTTCTTGGGGCGCAAGGCACTGGAGCGCAGCCCCTTTCTCTGAGGGGTGTGGGTTTCTGGGGTGGTAGACAGGTGGATAGATTAAAGACAAACAAGCTTGAATGCTTGCATTTTCTTATTTCTTGGGGGACAAAGACAACATAACTATGACTGTGTGTGTTAATGTACTCTGCTATTAACAACGGATCATGTCTTATTACTAAACATTGCAAAACAATTGATGGATAGAAAC